TGAGATAATTGCTGCGTATCTTATAAGCGCTTAACTTATATATTTTTGAAACTTTAAGACATAGTATGATGAATAAGATGTACAATGGTGATAATATTTTATGGAATGTGTAACTCTATCTTTAAAAGCTCTTTTTGACCCATATACTCATGCCATCTTTCACTAGAAGATTATTATATTTGGAAAAAGTTTGAGTTTGATTTGACTTAAAATGGTTTAGATAATATTTTTTCTTTAGGTAAGACAGCTGTTATAACAGTAACAGTAAAAACGTTCGTTCTTCCCAGAAACAAACCATGGGCACGAACTCTTTTTACCATAAACATAGTTCACTAAGCTCTACTAAATGTGCTAAGTCTCGACTAAAAATCGCTCCAACACCTGGGAATGTTCCCTCGTAAGAATTTTTTTAAAAAACATAAATTATAATAAAACTCGATGCATATGAACACGCGCTTCATTGCTATAAGAATACTGTACTACCAATCTTGCAGTCAATACTTCATCCTACTTTGAAATGTTTTAAATTCAATGAAAAATATTTAAAATTCCTTATATACCAGTAACGTATCAATATTTAAGATAAAATATAAAAGACTCGTGACATAAACGTATTTCTTCATCGTTCAAAATTATGCTTAAACCCTCTATCGTAATTGACTAAATAATTATAAAAAGCAAGCACAAAAATTCATGTATTTCAGTACTACTTTTAGCTAGAAATATGAAACTTTGGAAAATTAACGATCTTGATAAGATATATATATATGGAAGAAAAATTTTTAGCCATCTACGTCACGAAAAAGTGTAAAAAAAAGTCATTGATAAATTCTTCTCAGTTGTTATGAAAAATTCTTTATGTCGCACAAAATAGATCAATATTTATATTTAACTCTCAGTCAGACTGTTTATTTCGGAAACGAATAAGAATTTATTCGTTCTGAAAAAGAGTAACATTTAGAGATCTGTAAAGAACATCAGAGCTGAGCTTTGATTGCAATTCTGACAGAGTCCACAAGAAAGTAAAAACACTCAGGTATGAATATAACTTTTTCTATCCACACACGTTATGAATGATGAAAAATGGTTCATTTTTCTCATAAGGAGAAATTGTTAGATATCCTAGGTGGTAAAACTTGATGCTTTCTATTACCAACAAAAATATCACAGCAATTGGTTATTGATGCATAAAATGCGTCATCACGATATTTTGGTAGAAAAAAAAAAAAGGCGCGACCGACTTTTCAATGATATTCCACAAGGTTTTTGTGGAGTTGATGAATTCTTCTGAAGTTTTGTATTTAGAAAGATAATACTCCAATAATTATAGTTAGAAAAACGAGCAAGTCATTTTTATTGAAGAATATCAACTGAAAAATTGTATAGAAAAAACTTCATTGATATTTTGATTGTTTACATAAGAAAAAGTCATCAGATCGATATGAAAATATTAATGAATACTAAATTCATTACGCTCTACAATATATTAAAAAAATTCGTGATTTCTGCGATGTCACACTATCTTCAATGTCCTATAATGTCTGACTTTCTTAGCAACTTTCTCTTCAAATATCTATCCTTGCTTATTTATTCGTGATTTTTTTCTTTTATTTCCTTTTATAAAATAAAAGGTCTTACAAATAAAATTATATTGAAACATTTTAAAAAAATAGTGTCTACCAGGCAGGAAAATGAGAATAATCAAAAGCAGTGAAATATACAAAAAATATATTGGTGTTAATTTATTGTGGGTATGACATTCTCGACCTGGCGTACGTGCACACCAGCACCCATGAATTATTGTGATCATTTAGAATTATTTTTTTCTGTCTCTTGAAAAATGAGGACAATGATAAAAAAAAACAAATAACATAATGTTCTGTTTTCAGCCTGTATTTGTTGTGTACGAAAATTGAAACTATTCACGAGTATATGATTTACAGACGCGAATACATTCTTTTGTTGACGAATATCAGAAACATGTTACTAAATGAGAATTCTTTTGCAGTGATTTAATGCCTTTAAAAATTCAGAAAATAAGTTAATAACATCTGATTAGCAATGTGCTGATTACAGAGTTCAAGAGCAAATCATTCGAATTAATCTGTATATATTTTATGGCAAAGCATTATCATAATTGGTAGAACTTATCGCGCTGACCATTTCATTAACATATGTTTTTTTAATTCCACTGTATAATAATAAAGATTAAAGTCAAATACTATTAACGCACTTTGTAATTAATAAAAAGTCATCTTTTATTCACTGGGATTATAAAAGCAGTTACATACTTAGATTCGTCTAGAAGTGTACGAAAAATTGAATCAAACTTATAATTTTGTCAGGTGGACAAAATATAATTCGCTTTACATCAGGCACCAATTATTTGTTGAATTTTAAGAAGAACGATTATCAAAATTATTTTATAACATAAATTTTCATGAACATTATCTGATGAATCCATTCATTAAAGATTTCGAACATCACTAAAACCTTCATTATATATAGAATTTCTTGTTTGTGTAAACCATCAATATAAGTGTCGTTAAATAGTTAAGAAAAAAAATTCTATATAACTATTCTATATTTATTTCACTAATAAGTAACAATACAGAAAAATACTACAGAAGTGTACAAAATTCTAAATGTTTCTTGGTCAACATTTTTCGAATGTTGATATACTTGTGTAATTTACCTATTTTTTACGAAAGAAAAAAAGTCTAAAGTTGAGATTTCACTCTGTATACAACATAGATAAAATTGAGTTGAACGACCAACATCAATATCTATTCAAATTCAGTTTTTTTAAAATTATTATTGAGCATTGCCGAAAATCCAATTGAATGACTGTCGACAATAAAATAACTTTTAAATAGTTAAACTTTTTGTTGTTGTTCTTCAAATGTTAGATCTTTTTCCGGGAAGATATTATCGCAACCCATCTCTACTTGTTCGTCACTTGACTTTTTTCGTTGTAACAAAGGAATGGCAAATAGTATGGCACCGCTGAGAATAGTGAAACCGCCAAAAATAAAATAAGGCCAAAGAAAAGGTCGAGCAAAGTGAGCAAATGCATCTCGCATTCCTCCTATAAATGATTCATGTTTAAAAAATTTATAAGAAAAGGAAACCAAAAAAAGACATAATAAACACTTACCAACAATAGGTGTTCCAATAGCAGTTGCAATGCCAACAAAAAGTAAAAGAACACCGAATGCATCCGATAATTTATTAATACCAACTATATCGACAAGAACGATCGCTGTTAAAGTAACGTAACCGCCCGAAAAGAAACCAAAAGTGGATGCATAGCCTATATGAGGCAAAACAGAAGAACCACATAATGGAGCCACCATTGTAGCAACACCGGAAATAATTAATGTTACAGCAAATAAGAAAAGTCGATTTACCTAAAAAAAACACAAATGATTTTGTCAAAGTCAACTTTTCATATTGAAAAAATTTTCTTGCCGATTTTCGATCACCGAAATAACCAATGATAATACGACCGAAAATATTTGACAAACCAATTGACATAACAATATATGATCGATAATCTTTTTGAACGTTTGAATCATTTGCAAGATCATCAGCATAATTGTAAATTACATTGAAGCCGAGACTTGCTAAAAAATTGGATACAACAAATAGCGTAAATGCAAGATTTTTGAGCAGTTTGAAATCGATTTGTTCGATTATTTCATGAAAGAAAGATTTCTTTGGTGATTTCTCAATAATGACAACTGAAAATATTGAATTGATGAATTTATATTAATAAATGCAACAAAAAAAAAGAAGTTCGATAGACAAGTTTACCTTCAGCCGGATTATTTTTCGATGTTGTTGAACCATTCTGAGCAATTAAAAGTTCCTCATTTTGTTTTTGTTGATCTTCTTTACGCATTTTTCGTTCTAATCGTCGTTGTTCACTAGGTTCTTGTGGTAGAGGAAGCTAAACAAAGAATTTGTTTATATCTTCTTGAAAAATTTCAATTTATTTAAGAAACTTTTCGATTACCATCAAGAAGCCACACAGAAGACTAATCATGATAATAGCAGATTCGAGAAGCAATGCATTCTCATAACTGAGCCAGAAGCGTATATTGACAATTCCATTTGTGATAAAGGCAAGTGCCATTGTACCCACACCTGAACCACATACAGCGATACCCATGGCAAATGTACGTCTTTTTTCGAAATACAATCCAACAGAGACAATTGCTGGCAAGTACATGAGTGAAAAACCAAGACCTAAAAATATCAATACATGAATGAAACGAAGAAAGCGATTAATATATAAAATGAAGAATTTTTTTTTTAAATTTTCTTTCACATAAAAAGATACGAATCTATTTCAAATATGAGATCGACTACATGATGTATTATACATAAGAATTTTTATCTATTTATTTTCGGACTATATCAGTTCGGAAAAATAAAATTTGTTGTCGAAATGGATCTTTTGCCTCTGAAACCTGATTTTATTGAGAATATAAAAAAAATGTGAAATCCTTCAAATTCAATTATACTACAATGTATGACCTTTTAATTATATTCGACGAGAAAAACCATGTCTTGTTGAGAAGAAATCTCTGTTTTAAACTTAATTTCTATAATGCATCATACAACCAATCTCTCATATTGTCTTTATTACCATGTAAATCACATTCGTATCCATTAATGTGCAAGAAAATTTGAAATAATTAATTTTATGAGTAAAAGTACATACCTCCGATGACACCAATTGTAATATAATAAAACCAGATGTTAGCCCATAGTCGACTGAGAAAAAAACCGAAAGCAGCAACGACAGTACCTCCTATAGCCACTGCACGACATCCGTACATATTAGTGAGAACGGTTGCGATTGGTCCTTAAAAATTATAATATAATTGTTAGAAAAAACAATGTTCAATTTAGAATAATAATAATAACCTACCTGCGCCAAGAGTGACAGCTGGCAAAATACTGAAAATAGTTGATACTGAAGCTCGATCAAGTCCAAGTTTATTCCGCATAGGTTCTAAGAATGTTTGACCCATTGAATATGTTATCCTATTTTGTTTATAATATGAAACTGAAAATGACATAAAACAATTCTCACTTACCCATCCATAATGAAATGAATTAAAAATGATGAAAAGACAACGACCCATCCCCATCCACCATCAGGTACGATCGATTCTCCAACTGAAGTTTTTTTCTTATCATTTTTATCCATTTGATTGTTATCTTTTGAAATAGAAATCTTAAAAACACATAGTAAATATAATTATTTCATATACTGCTCAACAACTTCTAATGTCTGATTCATATGTCAGTATATGATAATAAGCATTAACAAAGATTTGTAATTTTCTACTGGTTATCCAAAATAAAAAAAAGTACTTTAAGCGAAAACGATAGTAGGGCAAGATTATAGGAAAGTTATTTGTTGTTTTCTCAATGAAATCTTATTGTTCACTGTACTTATATAATAAATAAAATGTAATGCTTATGAATGAAGACGTATCATAGTCCATTAGACACTATAAATATATAAACGAAAATCGCCGACATTCCTCTTCTCTTATTCGACCAGAAGAAATATGCGTAGATATTTATTTTATACTTTATCTGTAGCACCAACAGGAATATAGAATAAAAAATGAGAATGTCAAATATGTAAGTAGGTTTTGGTAAACGAAAGATAATATCAACATTTTTTTTTATAAATTTTATGCGTTCTGACATGTTCGATTCTTTATCTTCTATCAAGTTACTTTATAAAAATAAACAAAATGGCAAAGAAAAGCTCAGTTATATCAAACATGAAAGTCTTTTATTCGTCAACTTCAAGTTTGATATTTGTACTCTTGATAATAATTATGACTTCAATGAATCATTTTGAACGAAACAATTAAAAAAATACTAGATTATTTTCCGATTGTGAGAAAGAAATTTTTTACTTACAGTGTGCGAGTTGGACGAAATTATTATATGCACGTACAATACAACACGTTATTATAAAATACAACTAGTCGATTTGAGAGGACGAAAAAATGTTTACTCGTTCTCTTTTATATGAACGCGATAGGACTGAATGATGCAATACTGTAGAATGAAGGCAATGAAGGATGAAGAAACGCTGTATAACCATAGAAAATGATGCAATGTACGTTATAATCTGAGGAAATTTCTGATGAAAAAGAAAAAGTTTGCATTTAGATTACTGTTACAAAAATAGATGTTAATGAGCAAGGATGAAGTTGTTTTGTGCTCAGCTGTTTCCCATCCTTACGATATTTTATTTGTAGTTGTCAGTATTGCCATTTTCTCTTTTTCTTGTTCTTTGTCCTCTGTTGAACTAATCATTACTTCTTCACATAATATGAAGTATATATTGTAAATATCTAAGTTTGTACACAATGTGATAATTCAAATAACTTAAAATGATTTTTTATATGATTTCAAACTTGTAAATAGAAAATTTCTTAAAACGACAACATCATTGAAGCTCTAAATACACACAAATAGATATTCACATAACAAGGATGAATCATCAATTTTGTTTTGTCGTAATTTTCTTCTTTCCTTTATCATAATGACTGCGTACTATTCTTTTCTTTTATATGTTAGATTAGTAGAGAGTGAAGGCGGGTTAAGCGAACGCTTTTTTTTCTAGGGTGACTTTGTTCTATATATTATATCGCGGTTATTTAAAAGGACTAATAAATTTATTTTTATATTGTTGAGAAGAGAATTGATGTTTCTATCTACTCATATGAAAAAAAAAATATTCTATTTTAATGATTGAATACTTATCGGTATGAAAAGACATATCTAGAATATTTGCTTTATCTCTCATATTGGTAAAGCAAATGTGTGTTAGCCATTTTAGCTGGAAATAATCTACTGAAGAGTATTTCATTTTCAAAATAAAAATTGATCATGATGACTTTTGACAAATTTTTTTCGAATGCTTAGATTTACTAATAAACAGTAGTTCAAACGAAACTAATGAATATTTTTTTTTCCGAATGACTCGCTCATCTTTTGATCTTAATCTTGTCATAAGAAACAACACTGATAAACTTGATTTTTTGGAAAAACTGTGTGAGGATAAGTGTCGTTTATGAATTTGTTACAAAAAAAGAAGAAGAGGAACTACATCGGTTACCTATTCAAGTTTTTTTTTCTGCTGGTTTCATCTATTTTCTTCAGTCTTTTACTTTATTCCTTTATGAATTACGAATATCACTATGTTTTGTCATTAACAATCGATACAATCTAGAAAACACACTGATAATAGAAAACTATGTATGTTGTATAGTAATAAAAAAATGTGGAGTAGAGTTTTCGAATAATTTTAAAAGTAATACGAACTTCATCTTTATCAATCAACCTTTGTGTTCAAGTCAAGAGGGAAACGGCAAATTCCCAGAATTTTTATAAAAACAAATTGCATTCCAGAAATTTATATTTAACCTTTATGATTCTCATTCTAGTTCTAAAAACTGTATAGAGCTGACTATCATGACTTTGCTGCTGTATCACATAGTTAGAGAAGCCGCATTAAACTATTGAGAAAAATGATTCCCTAGACCGAACTTGCTTTTTCATATGGTTGCTTCAGATGATCATGTATCTCATATGCATAATACTCCAAGATAATTCATTAGGGTTACCTATTTTTAAAATTCTAGACATTTAACCTAATTACATGAGTATTAAGTTCATTTTGGCAACAGGGTAGTTTACTTTCGTATGTGTATAAAAAAGTGTGCGACGTAGAATAACAAACAACAGCAAGAAATAAATAATCAACTGAATGTATAGAATCTCAACTGTGATCATTTATTCACTCAGTAATCTGGTAGTTGAACATGCTTAAGTCAATCAGATAGTAGCACAGTCTTCATGTCGTTGGCTCACAAAGAAGATGAATCATGAATTCTGTTTTAGGATCAACTATATTTTTCTGATTCGGATAAAAAAAAGTAACATTAGATATGAAGTACTAACTTGTTTCTTGATCCAATGAATTGTAATGATTTTTTTCAGATTAGACAATACAAATTATTCTTTCACTTTAGATTCGTACAGATAATCTAATTTGTTTTATAGCAGATTCTCTTGTTTTCTTCCAAGCAAAATTCAAATAAGTTGTCCTTAAATTATAAAAGTTGAATGATATTTATTCTTTCACAGTAAAAAAAACAAAAAAGTACTCCGATCATTATTAAGTTTAGACGAATTTTTCTGATAAGATACATGCATCAATACTAAAAGCTCTTGTGCTTCAGTTTGCTTTGTCACCATCAAAGGGCAACAAAAAAACAAAATAACATCGATTGAAACTGACCTGTTACTTTTCTCCATTAATCATGTTCGTGTTGTTAAATGAGCCGTAAAGTGAATTATATCAATAATCAATTAGTATCTTATTTCTTTCATGTGGTAAATTATTTACGTACATTTTCTTTTTTTTATCGATCAGTGCAGGAAGAGATGTGCTGACCACAAAACTTCAACTTATTAAGAGTTGGGTGTGGGTGTGGGGTGGGTGTTGCTCTTCCATTGATCCACATCCTATTCTATTCTATCATTTATGTACATTGAAGTTTGGTTGTTTGAACAATGATGTTTATTTAAATAAACATCATATAAGTGTTAGCAACAAAGTTACTGAAGTTCATTTCGTTATCTTGATTTTGATCTGCAAAGTGTTGAATAATTGTCGTCACTCTAATTCATACTTCCGTTTGTGGCTAACTATGATTTGACTTGACTGAGTTGCACTTTTATCGAGCCACAACTCTAAAGAATTCCAGTTTCCTCGATATGTTGAATTTTTACTGTTCTGTCGAAGTCATTGCATGATCTTTTCAAACATTTGTCTCTGTAAGACATGAAAATGAATACTTGCTAAATGATTTGTGAGCTCTAATAATGAGAGAATTGTTGTCATTTGATGAGTATTATATATTGTTACACGTAAATGTTTCACATGAGAAGATATTATCGAATAGATACGTTCTGTCGTTATCACAGAATCTTTTTGAGAAAAACTAAACTACATTTCGAGTGAAGAAATATTGTGTGCTTGTTTCAGTAGAGCAATGATGTCCATCATCATGTCTGAATTAAACCTAATTTCAAAACTTTCTATCTTGAGGTAAACAAGTTCTGAAAGATCGATTAAGGTCAACAGAAACTGAACCATGTCAAGTGGCCAAAGCTTCTCTACGGTTAGTACGAGTTGGGTCGTCTTCCGAAATAAATAACATATTGAATGTTCAATCTACAAAAAAGAACAAGTACACAAATTTTGACAAAAATTGTCAGAAAAATTATGTATTCGAATGGCATGAATTTGACCGAAAGTAAAAACTGTCGAAAGAAAAATCTCAAAAACACTATTAGTGAAGCTGCAGCGTACCCTTTCACCAATACTACATGAATAATCTGCAATAGCATTCATATCCACCATTCATTTATGAAGAGTATGTGCTGGAGCTGTATCAATAGCTCGAAGGATATTTTTTTGTCGCTATTTTTTTTTACTTGCGGCTGTTTTTTTTTTCTACCAAGTTCATATATACCATGGCTGCCACCTGATTTCGATTTGAATATAACAGAACAGCTGAGTTCTGACTCAACACGAATCTGCTGATTTGTTTTGCTCGATGATAGTTTTATGGAAAAGAACTATTTTCTAAAATATCGCTTTGTCGCTTGTCTCTGTTTCAAGCCGGCACTGGTGCTGAGTCTACCTGGGCTATGAAGTCTCTCTGTAATATCCGTGAAATCAATTGATTAAATTTTATCAGAGAACTGACGGTCAATAGTTGTCGGTAGAAAGCCTGTCCACTGTGTGTACAAATTATTCTGAATTTTTCTTGTTTGTGACATTTCCATAGCATTTTCCACTTATCTTCAAGTGATTTGCAAGATATATACTAAAGTACCTTTGACTCAATTATAGTAGTCGCAACTTTGAAGGTATTCATAGAAACTTTCTTTACATTATCCATCATTGATGCATCATTGTCAATTATTAATGGCGAATTCGAACGGGATATTTTCATTGATTCTGGTACATAGTTAAGATGTGAACAACAAATTGGTATCGAATAGAGTCGAACTTCACTTGAGTTTTCAATACTATGTTCGCAAGTAATAAACCAATGTTTGACTTTTAGCCAGAATGAGATTCTAAACGGTGCAATTATTGATTCA